GGGCTATTAATTATTATAGACTTAAGGTTAATATTATTAAATTAGGGTATTTTTAAAGTAATAATAGTTATCTTATTAGGCTATTAAGAGTTAATTAAATGTTAAATACCCTAATTAATAGCGTACTTTCTTACGATAAAAATCTATTAAAACTAGCTTTTTAAACCTATTAGGGTTACTAATAAAGAACCTTTAATATTTATAGCTAGGTTAATTAAGTCTTTTATTAAAGACCTTAAATATATTATAATTTAACGTTAAAATATCTTAAATTTAGTGGTAAATTAGGCTTATAATTATTACGTTAATAGCTATAAAAGCAAATTAAATAATAGAATTATCCTTAATTAAAGCTATTTAGGTACGAAAAATAGGCCCTTATTTATAGATATTAAGGTCATCTAATAGGTCACCTAAAAAGTTATTAATTTAAGGGGTTTTACGGTATTTAGCTATTAAAGGTCCAGCTTTAATAGGGTGGTAGCGCGAGCCTTCTTTTGAGGCTTTTTCGTACAATCGGAAAGCAGCTATTTGAGGCGTTTTGGGGCTTATCGGGGTCCCCGATGAATAGCAGCCTTTTTCCATTGAAAGGGGCCTTTGGCGTTGATAGGACATGTACATCCTCCTCAGACACAGATATACTACAACTATTAAGTATGATGGAGATCTAACGAAAACAACCTAGCCAATACCTCGTTTCCCTCCCGCAGCATCAAATCCTCCCTACTGTAAATATATTTATTATTACCATCTTGGATATTCAGGCGTACCTTTTCAGCCTACAATGGCGACATGTGACTAATGAGATTCAACCGACTCGGTCATCCACGGCACGGCACTAATTGCGGGAGCCGGCAGTCGGATTACACGCTTTACAGCAGCTTTTCGACCCCAAGCGTCGAGAGGTGTGCCAAGTATCTGTGGTGACCACTACATTGGCCTAGCCTGTTCATAAGCCTTTAGCCAAATTGTGCGCGCGACGCGCCAATGCTTTTAGCGTCGGCTCATTATGCTCTTCTCCTACCAAGTCGGTGGATTTCGATCACGTCATGGCACATGAGATGTCAAGTGTAAGTAAGAAAAAACACACACAGTAAATACTCACTCGAAAATTATTCTGAAACAAGACAGTGATTCGTGCTCTTGGATGACGCTTGCCATAACGTCCAAAACCCCAGGCGGGCAAGTTTTTTTTTTTGGAGCGTCCAACTTTGCGCCAGTGTTGGACAATGAAGAGTTTGAAAGAAAAGGTAGATAGGGCGACTAGCCCAGGGAGACAGCAGCGGTCGGGAATTAGCTTCTTATACATAGTCGCAAAGCACCACGCGTACAATCCTGCCAACACTGGCGAGTCTTCTGCGGCCTGTGGAACTAGTCAACACCACTTTTGGCCATGACATCAGTAAATAGCCGAAGGCACGATGTCGAGGGCGCCATTACGAGACGGGAAAGTTTCTACTAAGTACAGGCTTCTGGAAATCAGCTGGCAATTGTAGGCCATCAAAACCAGACGATATAAATAGTTGTCGAATCGCCCCACGGCTAGGATGAAAACAATGGCTAGGCCACTTCTATTGACCTCAAATACCAATGATAGTATGTTGGTGCTTCTTTGCTTATATTCTTCACCTCCATCAGCGTCACTAACGCCAGCGAATCTACGCAAGATGTATTCACCATCCTTGGCCGTATACCTCCCGAGTCTGTTCATAGCCTTATGTGCGACTCTTGTCTCTGCTTCTGCGCTGTTACCCAAGCAACAACGTCGACAAGATTGGACCTTCGGCCATGCCGCGATTGAGGGGGTCAGTTGTCACGTATCCGTCTTCAACGCCTGCCAGCACTCCCACGAGCTAACACGAGTGTTTCGCAATGTACCAGGCACGTTTATACCCACGTGTCAACTTCAAGGGTCTTCCTACTATTATCCCGTTGGACGAATCCTTCTGCCTCACTCTACCAAAATCGATGTATGGGTACAAACCTGGGTCCAATATGCTTTTTTGGGTTCAATTGAAAATCAAGAAAGAAAAAAATCGCAAAACAAATAAACGCTAACAATGTGGAATAGTCAGTGGAGGGTGTCTTCTATGTCGATTCAGCACTCGGAAGCCGAGTGCTCTATTTTCAAGTAGGTTGACATGTGGTCTCGAGTGCATTTTCCCTCCTCTCGGGGGCCATGCGCTGACTTGAGCTCTAGAGACATTTATTGTGAGGAGATGATTTGGGCGTCGATTAGCCGAAGCATCCCGGATATGAGCGTGATTGGGTCCAATCGTATCACTGGAAGTGTCAGGTGCCAATGGAAGCGGTGATGCTTCGAGATATGCACGGCGTTTGTTGCGTTGGAGGCTGGAGGAAGCTGTGGTTGTCTGCCCCTGCGCGGATTTTGTTCTATGCGAATGGGGTGTTTCCTATGCCGTCATGTGAAAGGTCAGAGGTTGGAAACCACGGCCATTTGGAAGTGATGGTGGATGTAACGCTCCTCAGCGATCAAGACGGATCCAGAATGGGAGGGAAAAAGGACCTGTTTTGGCTTCTGGTTCACATTGACGCTAGCTTGACGGCGCTTCTCCGTTGGGCGATAGGCATCCCTACAGGAACAGCGTTATATTCAATATGAAGGGTGTTTAAAAGTATAATCGGGCAGCAGATAAGGCAGATCTCGACCTCGGGGCGCAAACTTCTCGATGCTGTTCGTGGCCGGTTACTAGCATCTCGGGCAAAGGTTGATGAAGGTCACAAGCATGGCACACGCGTGGGACGCTGAAATAAGCTAAAGCTAAGTCTCCGATAATGGAAAACCCACACATGCCATAATGATTCAACGGCGGCCGGAGTGACCCCGGTTGCTTGTTTGACGTGGGGTGGAAAATGAGCGCGTAAATGAGGCTCACGTGGTGTCTCGGGCACGTGGATGTACTTCGTACTCGCTCGATTTGACGCACACACCTCGAGGCTTCAGTCCGCTTGTCTTACCAGCCAACTTTGTCTGCTCACGTCCCAGCACGGCCAGAGAGGCGGTTGAATTTTTCAAAATAATTGCGTCCATCATGGCGACGGCGCGTGCAGATACTCTCGGATCTTCACCTTGAAGTCGGTCAGCAATACTTGTCCTTCAAATTCCCCGTAACAGCCCCATTTCTGCTGCTGGCTGGCGATATTGGCCGGCTGATTGATTATATTGACTACAGAGCATTGCTCCGAGAGCAGACGTCTCGTTACGAAAAGGTTTTTCTAGTCGTAGGGAACCACGATTTTTACGGCCTTAGCCAAAGCTTGGGCCTGGAAACGGCCCAGCGTCTCTCCAAGAACCCTTCGCTTGCGGATCGTCTCGTGATCTTAAACCAGTCTCGATGGGATAGTCCAGAGTCCGACATGACTATTATAGGCTGCACACTCTGGTCCTCAAAACCAAGGGACGCGTACGATATTGTACAGTCAAAGATCAACGATTTCAAGAAGATTGACGATTGGAACCTACAAAAACACGACGAGATCCATCAGGTCGAGGCTGCTTGGCTACGTGAGCAAATCATCACTCTTCTTGCAAAGGAAGGAGGACAGAAGCCTAGAGAAATATTAGTGGCGACGCACCATGCACCGTGTGTAGCAGGCACTTCTCATCCCGATCATAGCAGCAATACGGGGACGGTGGCATTCGCTACCGACCTCATTACCCAAGATGGTGCGCAAGATGGCTTGGACCATGTCAAAGTCTGGGCTTTTGGCCACACGCATTATTCCACCGACACGGTACGAAACGGTATTCGGCTAGTCTCTAATCAACGTGGCTATGTGATTCCCGGAAGTACCACTCCGAGAGCTGAGCATCGGGATGCGGGCGTTGGTTCTGGTTCTCGCAACTTTGATATTACCATGACGGTTCCTTTGTAGTCTAGCAGAATCTCTTTTCGACGCTACTTCATGTCTTCTTTACTCTCTCTTCCAATATGCGGCCGGCCAAAATATCGCTTATTCCGCCTGTGATATGGCAAAGGCCACTACTACCAGCCTATTTTCGCTTCTTCCAGATGCTCCACTGTCAGCTCGTTGGCGGCCATACGGAGGATCATTGTGTGAAACAATCTAGGTTGATACTGATTTTCGCAGCTCGCAAGCGCAACAATTTATATGGCAACTGCAGCCGCCAAAGATGGCTTTGCCGCTGTTGAGCCAAAACTTCTTCCCTGGCCACGACATGTATCAATTGATGATAGACTTCCTCTTGGATAGGTATCCTGAGGGTTTACCTGTCTTACCGGCACTCATTTGACGTTATCAAGGGATTAAAGCAACATATGTATGTCCCAGGGAGATGGAGATGCCAAGGACCTGCTATCCCCTGTTATGGAGTTTATTGTCGCTCGAACCCCTTTACCGACCAACTTCATTCAAGAATCCGCACCACTCGCACACATGCCTGAGCAGCATACACATGACTACAGGCGCCAAAGAAAATTGTCTCAAACGCCTTTTCATTTCGGGGCCAAGAGGCGACGATGCGTACGACAATGGACTCGGGTATACGCATCAAGACGCGTGAAGCCGGGCGCCTCATTACGCGGCACGTGATTCAGCTTCCCAGCCGTGTGGTGATATATCACATAATTCGCTACACCGCGTCCTGCCAAAAAGCTTCACCATAGTCTGTAACTGCTCGCAATGTCGTGGTTCTCGACAGCGGCAGCCTCGCTCGTGGCCTTGGCCCTCACCTACCAGCTAACGACATTCCTGCGTCTACGCCATGTTCCTGGCCCCTGGTGGGCGGCCTGGACGCCGTTCTGGCTTGTGCTCATGCAATTGACGGGACGGATGCACTTTATCCTCCACGACGCGACCAAGAAATACGGTAAGCGCCGTCATGACTTGAAATAAATCGAGAACAAGCCGTGAGCTAAGACAAAACCCATCACCTCCACAGGACCCGTTGCGAGAATCGGCCCCAACTGGGTCGTATGCGGAGATGCCTCTGAGCTCCGCCGCATCTGGGCAGTGAGATCCAACTGGACGCGATCATGGTGGTATCGCGGAATGCGCATCGACCCTTACAGGGACAGTTCGTTTTCCACCATAGACGACAGGTTGCACAGTGCTATCCGGAACAAGCTGATCCCCGGCTACGGTGGCAAAGACGTCGACAACTTGCACCAGCATATCGACGACCAGGTTGCCAACTTGGTACGGCTTCTAGACACAAAGTATGTGTCGACTGACCAGAGCCTCTACAAGGCCGTTGACCTGGCACAAAAAGTCCAGTATTTTGCACTAGACGTCATATCCACGCTTGCGTTTGGCAAGACGTTGGGCTATCTGGCCGAGGACCAGGACAAGTTTCGCTACATTGAAACTACGAACCAGACTGTGTATATCCTGGTGTCCACTACGCTCATACCCGGCATGATTAGTGTTTTGCAGTCCCCGTACTTGAAATGGATGATGCCCCGGATCGAGGATATGGCTGGTATCGGCAACGTAATCAAGTTTGCCAAGGAAACCGTTGGCGAGCGGTACGGCGCTGATCCTCTCGTCAAACAAGACATGTTGGGATCGTTTGTAAGGCACGGCTTGGACCAAAAGGACAGCGAAACAGAGGCACTGGTACAGCTAATTGCCGGGTCGGACACCACCGCCACGGCCATCCGATCGACCATGCTGTTCCTCATGACTTCACCACAGGTATATGCACGTCTGCAAGTTGAAATTGACCGAGAAATCGAGAATGGACACATCTCGTCTCCCATCACCGATGCCGAAGCACGGGGGTTTCCATACCTCCAGGCCGTCATCCTCGAAGGTTTGCGCATGTTTCCCCCCGCAGCAGCCTTGTATCCCAAGGTTTCTACCCAGGATGAAGTCTTGTGCGGAGTGCCCATTCCAGCGGGCACAAACGTTGCCTGGTCCCCTTGGTCCATCATGCGAGACCGAGACATATTCGGCGACGACGCCGATATATTTCGGCCAGAGCGCTGGCTGGATCGCACTGACGAATCCAGGCCCATGGAGCAGACTGTCATGATGGCCTTTGCAAGCGGCAGCCGGTGGGAATGTCTGGGGCGGAATATCGCCTTGATTGAATTGAACAAGGTCTACGTCGAGGTGAGCACACGGACTCGGTAGTGGTCTTTTTTTTTCGGCTTTGAATCATAATGCTAACTTGGGTTTAGCTCCTTCGACGATTTGACTTTACGCTGCTTAACCCATTGAATCCGTGGAAGTCGTTCAACGCAGGGCTGTTTAGCCAGACCGATCTCAATGTTAGAATTACCCGGAGGGCGGGCTGATGAAAATCTCCCTTTTTTTTCAACTTCCCCCCGTGATCTTTCATCTGCGCGAGTACGTGGACGTGAAGCAACTTATTTTGCTTTTGGCAACCACTCCTGATTATGTAGGATACCCACCTGATGCAGAATATTCCCGGAGCCGACATCGAAATGTTCAATACTTGGTGCAAATAGAATCAAGCAAAACTTCCGACCCACGGCGCTACAAGTTAATGGCAACGTAGTCAACACTACCAATCGGGTACCAAACCGCCCACACCCAACGAGACCGACATTGATGAGACGCTAGAAATCTTGTAGCCCTTTGCCCCAACGAATCCCAATACAAGGCCATGTTGCCTCTTTCCTCACGCACCATCGGACCACAATAGTAAATCCAGCGTTAAACACGTATCCCGAATTTTGCCGCAGAAAGCTACTGCATCGAGCATCTTCCGCATGGACCATCCTGGCGCCCACTTTGGACAAAAAAAAAAAGGGCAGGACAAAACCAGGCGGAATAAATACCCATGCCACACCAAGCATCTGGCTGCGAGCGTGCGACCTTGACCCCAGTCCATCCCAATTAAAAGCAATCAATCTCATGCCCGAGACAGTGGGTGGGGAAACCCTGTCGAGCTGAACTGCACCTTGTTCCTCGTTTCTCCAACCGCCATGGCCACGATCCGCCTGGCTGAACCATCCACGCCACTCGACTCGAATCGGCATCCTAGAACCACAGACGGCGCAGCATTTTCTCCACGACACTGCGAAGTAAAAGAAGCCATGCCCATTAAGCTCAAGGCCAGAGATGGCGCAGGCGCGATCCTCTCCGATGGCGCATCCAACCAACCTATGACGTATCCCCTCCAATGAGGGCATCTCCTGCGCGACGGATTTTACCACTCCCTCAATCGCAGCCACGGCTCATCTTGCAGCATCAACTCACCTCGGCGAGACAAGTCTTTGATTTTCTGCCCGAATCTTACATCTCCCGCGGCGTATTCGGCATCGCATCCTGCACGACACCTGTCAGGGATATCATTCGTCGATTTTTATCCCCTTCTTTTCTCGCCACTACCACAATGGACTTTGTCAAGAAGGTGGCCGATGGGCTTGGTGGAAGCGGCAATAACCAGTCGGGTCGGGAGAATGGAAATAACCAGGGAAGCAGCGGTAGCAACAGCGACGCCGGAGGCAAGCTGATGGACTCGTTCAACAACATGGCTGGTGGGGGCAAGCAGGGCGAGGCGGACGAGGACGGGCTAGATAAAGGTATGTGAATGCATCGGGGTGTAACACGGCATGGCCATGCCGCTCTTCTGGGTCGGTTTGGACTTGAGCACTAACTCTCCGGTCCAGCCGTCGACTTTGTCCAGGAAAAGTTCCTCGGGCAAGGTGATCAGTCCAACGAGACGGCTGCAGAGCAAGCCAAGGACGAGGCCATATCTGATTTCATTCGGGACAAGTACAAAGAAACCACTGGAAAGGACTTCTTCATCGCCGACAAGGACAAGAAATACGGCCTTTAGTTTCGTCAAGTTACACGACTGTCTTCTCAACCTATCGGTGCTGTGCTAATGCATGCTTTATTACTACTCATATACTGTGTCGTGTACCCATGTATCATGAGTTTACCTACCTAGTTGTCAAGAGGCAAAACGCAGAAAAAAAAAAAAGACTAGTCATCAGGCATTAGGCTTGCCGTGCCTTTTTGGACTTGCTCATGTCCATCTCTCCCAATCCCCCTTTTCTCCCCCGCGATATGCCGCTGCTGAACTTTTCAAGTTTCCTTGCCATATGTTTGGTCATTGCAAAAGCTGCTGTTTCATATCCCAAGAAGTAGGCTTGCTACCGGCCTAGTGTGAAATCCATTACGCGAGGCAGCTGCCTTACATTGTCAAGCGTGTATCTCCGTTCAATCTCTACTGCCCTCCACTGGGAAACTGCTGATAAGTCATCTGGGGCCCATATGGATATCTTCCTCTAAACCCTCCTCTTTGCCCATACGGACGCCACGTACCCCGGAATTGGCCGAAAGTTCCACGACCCCGGTTGTGGTCGCCACATTGCCAGCCTCTGCCGTGGTGTCCCTGCATATTCACGGGATGACCTCCTTTGTGATTTCCTCTCCACGATGAATCCTGGAGCTGGTTTGGCATCCTATCCGTTCGGGTTTGATCCCTAGTCTCCGCATCCGCGCCTGAAGCGCCAGCCGACTCACTGGCAGGTGCGTCGCTCGATGTCCCTGATCCATTTTGATGCTGATTGTTATAATTGCCACCCCGGCGGCCACCTCGGGGTTGCCCTCGTCGTTTGTTATTATACGGTCGTCGAGTTGCTCTGGGTTTGCGGTCCACGTAGAAATCAATCTTTTTAACAGGATCCGTGACCATGATGTTTTCGGATAGACCACATCTCTCTAATTCAGCCGCTTCGGTCGTACACACTTGAAAGATGTTCTCAAGCTTTTCGAGCCCTTGCAACTCAGGAACCCACATTCGAACGTAGGTACCCTCCTTGTCGTAATCAAAAGCCTGTTTGACAGGGTTAAATGTGCGAGCGTCGCCTCGAGGATCGTTTCCTGTGCCTGCCACATATTGCCAATTGGCCCAGTTGGAGGATACGTCATAGTCCACGAGCATCATTTCGTACCACTCTGCTCCATACCTCCAGTCAATCTCCAGATGCTTGGAGAAAAAGCTGGCTGCATTTTGCCGTGCTCGGTTCGACGTATAACCTGTGTGAAACAGCTCACGTTGCGATGCATCTATGATTCCCATCCCTGTGGTGCCGTTTTGAAATCGTTCGAGGATCTTCGAGATTTGAGCAGGAGGTGGTTCTTGCTCGGAGGCCGCTTTCTCCTCATTTGCAGTTTTCCATTTTTTGTCGTAGCTTCTGTCCTGTCGAAATCCAGAGAGCCTGAATAGTTTTCGCCCAAATTTGGCCGTGCAGAGCCGCATGTAGTCTCGCCATAAGAGTTCGAATCGAATGCCTTTTGTTCCGTCATTCTCGCCCTCGCCATATCCAACAGCGTCCTTGTATTGTTCGTCTGTTCCATCTTCCAGCTTCAAGAGCTCTTCATGAATCTGCCTAGCGGTGAGACAGCCCAAAGACAAATATGCGGATAACTTGAGGCTGTAATCCACACCGACGAGGCCATTACGAGTATCCTTGTACGATGTCATGGCACTAGACTTTCCCAGGTGCCTCAGCCTTGCCCAACCGCTTGTCTCGCCGCCAGTGAAAGGATGGCCGTCTGTGGCATCCTCGGGGCGTTTGGGAGGATTGTCCATTATGTGCTCGAGTGGCTTCACTAATCTTTTCTGCAGATCTTCTAAAGATACTGGCGAAACGAAGGGATGTGCTTGGGCAGGGATTGACTCTTCTTCGGGAAATGCTGGAAGCGATGATTTAGCCGGCCTTGGTAAAACCTTGCGAGGCTTCTCTCGGAGAGGCTCTTGAGACTTTCGATAGGTTGTGAAAACATCGGGTAAATCCGCTGGGCTTTCCAGACCAGTGTCACGGCTAGAAGCATGCTTAGTGTGACACGAAGCCAATCATGTATAAGAGATGACAACTCACTCGTCGACAAAATACTTTTCGTCTTTCCATAGCTCGAATTCAATTCCTTGCTGGGAGCAAAGAGAGGATATTGATTCTTGCTCCTGCACCTCTTCCCAAGAAGGCTCTTCTGTCATCCAGACACTGCTGACACAAGGCACTGCATCTTTGAGCTCCTTGACGAGGTGATCAACGACATCCTTTACGCTCCCGCATCGAATTACAAGGCCACTGCCCAATTCTTCAAGACTTCTCTTCAAATTCCAAACTGCTTCGGCGGTAAATTTGGCTCGATGAGGTCCACAACGCCAGAACTTGCCCACCTGACTTTTAGCTGGGGGATACGGTGACTGTTCGCCGTCCTTAAGAAATCCAGAAAGCTCTACCTGCTGAGCAGAAAACACATATACAGGCAACAGATGAGTGAAGCCATGGTCGGAGGCGGTGGCCAGGTGGTGCAAGATGGGATTGTCAGCCACTCTCAAGTCCCGCCTCAGGAGGTAAACCAAGAGTTTACTTCTAGACATGTCTCGTCACCAGCTGAGGATTCGGACTGGTCTTGATCTGTTCCTATCTTTTCAATGACCAGACTGGCTAAGCCAGGTTTGTCGGCGAGCGGCTACGATAAAACCAGCTGCGGTTCTCGATGGTGCGTGAAATTGTAAAAGAGCCAAGGCTTTGGGACTGGGGCTATTTTGAATTGTGAACAGGTATGTCCTTTTTCCCTCCCTCCCTTAGAGCTGTGAGAGCCCACTTCAGGCACCACGTCGACAACAACGTGCGTCAATGGGACCGATGAAGGTGACAGGGCCCAGGTAGCCGTGACGAATTCGCAGGGGACAGTGCCTGGCTCGGGGGAAAACAAATAGTATTTGTTGTCTAGGGGCTTGTGGGTCAGACGATCTGAGATGCTGCAGCGCGTGAAATGTGCCTTCAGAACATTGAGGCCCTATCTATGATACGTCATGGAGCTTGTCTCGGAAGAGCGGATGGAATCCTTGGGAGGAAGATAGACTGCCAGCCTACCCCTGGGTAGTGGATGCCCTGCGGAAAAGAGACAGGGAAGCAAGTGACTTTAGAATAGAGCAGCAAATCGGGCAAATGAACCAGACCAGACAGCTGTGACCTCCCCACTAGTTGTACATAGGTGCCTAAAGATTTCTACCAACGACCAGTCGAGCCTGGACTGTTCACTGTGTTCAATCCCCAGGGTGACGGTTGGAAGGCCTGCTGGGGTGTCGGTATGTGAATACTAGACCGCAATGTAGCAAAAGCTGACGGGCATGCAGGTAGTAGATGCAGTTGATGGAGAGCCAGCACCCGGATTTCAGGGCTCGTAAGGCGCTCGTTTGGACAAACCTGCCCGCTGACAGTGGCCGAATCGCGTGACTTTCCTTTGCTGTTGCTTTTGCAACGAGACGGAGCCTGGTACGGTGATGCAGGGGCCCGTTGTCTTT